TTCAGTTTTCTGGAATAGATGGTAACATTCTCAATTCAGTTTCTGTCACTTAGATACTACAATTAAATATTTTCAGCACCATACTGCTTCCTTCACAACTTAATACTTTGGTTCATGAGCGAGGGGCACTTCTCTGCAGTTACCCACTCTCTTTACAATCCCATACCTGAGGTATTCCAAATGGTATAGCTCAGAACCATTTCTCCCTATTTCACTCCCTATCACCCAACCTGAAACCTTTCTAAACATCTCAAATCAAATCCTAACCCTCTTCTCAAATCCAGCCCAAATCTCATCTTAAATGCAGCCCTATCTAACGCTCTCCCTCAGAAACTGCTCCTTTTATCTCCCCCCCCCCCGCAAGTGCTCTTGCTCCCCGCCCTGTGGCTAGCTGACTCTGTAGCCCATCAGCGAGAGGCTCCAGCACTCTGGTGGAGTTTCAGGGGGACTGCATCACAGACTCTAGTCCGGCTCTGCAGTCTCTGCACTATGCAAAGGGAATTGACTTGTGGGTATCCTGAAAGTGATTGCATTTGTGATGATTGAGCTGCTCTGTTCTCCTAATGTCCCGTGTACTTTCCCTCTGCTGTGTTTCCACATTCAGAACAACACAAACAGGGTTTGCATTCTGAGATATGACTACTTTAGAGTCCGGGCACTGCTTTGCAGATCTGTTCCTTGCATAACTGTACAGATCCATGATGTGAATTTGTGCAACAGAGGTCTTACCACCATGGGCTTATGTACACTTAACTTTTGCCCTACACTTCCTAGGCAAAGACCCACACTTTAAAGCACTGGGTCCAAGTGCCTTTTTATTTTTATTTTTTTGCTCCATGAAAACCCACTCTTTAAGACTGAATCAGAACAAATAGCAATTCAGGTTTTCCATGAATTGCTGTTTGCACCAATGCAGCAGTAAAAGAGAGAGTTTTCATGGGGAAAGCACCAGGACCAATATTTTTTTTTTAAAAAAAAATGGGTCTGGACATGGCTCTTTAAAGCATAGACTAGAAACTTGGCACAACAGTAAGTCTGGATGAGCCCCATATGAGGAAGAATAAAGAAATAAAAGCCTAACATTATCACTTCAACCTTTTTGGGGGGCAGGGAAGGCAGGGAATTGCTTGCCTCTTCATTAGAGCATTTCTTTGAGGCTCTGAAATTGCAGTTGAATGGCCTTTCCGAAAAGGGATGTAGCTCTGCTGGAACAGAGTCTCACCCAGAGGAAAGTGGACAAGCAGAGGAAGAAACAGATGCTGACAAGGAAACCTCAAACAATAAGGGGAGGAGAAACACAAGAAAAACTGTCTGATCCAAAACAGTTTTCCATAGGTACAGGGTGTCTTTTTCTTCTCTGATCTGATCCGCCCTGCTTCTCAACCCAGCAGCCCAGTGACAGATCTTTGAAACAAACAGGCATGTTTACCATTTTAAAAGCCTACATGCTTCTCATGGTGCTGTATATTTTGTACTTCACAAAGTCACAGTGGAAAACCTCTGCACTGGCCAGCTGCAACGGAGGCAGAAACGTATTGGGGGTGAAATTGCCCCTGACAAAAGTGCCACTGAGATACTTTGTCCTGGGAGAGATTTTTATTATTATTATTACTACTACTACTACTTGATTGCTTACCTTACACATGCACACCCTGATCACTGGTACTCGGAAGAAATGGGGAAGTGATTAAAATGAGCTTAGTCAATAGCAGGTCGTAACAATTAAAGATCTTGCAATCGTGGGAAGATGGCACTGTTAGAAATATTAGAATGTGGAATATTGGATAATGCCAGGGAGACACTGTGTGAATCTGGCTGCATATGGCTCCCCAAAGGCTTGCCTCTTTCGTACCATCTGGTTCAAACCTTTGATAAAGTTCTTGTGGCAAGCTGCTCATTTCCCATACGTCTCGTAAAGATGAGTCAAAAGCTTAAATCCTATTTGGTAATTAAAATAGTAGAATTGGAAGGGACCTCAAAGCTAATGTAATCCATCCTTCTTGCTGATGCAGGAAACCTACTCTTACATCATCCCTGGTTGGTGGACATCCTGCCTCTGCCTAAAACCTTCTAGTGAAGGCAAGGCCACTGTCAATCATATGGCCAAAATCTCCTTTCTTGTCACTTGAACCTTGTTGCTTCATAAGGTAGGACCCAAATCAGTTGAGGACAAATTCACTCCATCTGGAGAAGATAGAGAAGAGGCAGCTGAGAGTCCTTCGGATATTTAAACATGGCCGTTGTGTAGAAATTGCTTCATCTACTACATAACTGTCTTAAAAAACCTGAAGGGTTACCACCTGCCCTGTCTCTTCTCCAGGTTCAACAAGCTTTCCAACTCCTTACACCTTTTCTCCTTGTAGGACTTAGTCCCGAGGTTTCTAACTATCTTTGACACAGCCCTCTGGATGCATTCCAGTCAATGGATCTCTTTCCTAGACAGCAGTGCCCACTTATGTATTGGTGACTTCATCTATACAGTGGTACCTCAGGTTAATAATAATAATAATAATAATAATAATAATAATAATAATAATTTATTATTTGTACCCCGCCCATCTGGCTGGGTTTCCCCAGCCACTCTGGGCGGCTTCCAACAAAGATAAAAAATACACTAAAATGTCACATATTAAAAACTTCCCTGAACAGGGCTGCCTTCAGATGTCTTCTGAATGTATGTAACTTGAGGTACCACTGTACATTCGAAAATTGAAAAGAGAAACAGTAATGTATTCCAGCTACTGAGATCACAAAAGTTCTAGACAAATTCGTGGAGGATCCACAGCTGTTATCATCTATGACATGGGTAGGCAAACTAAGGCCTGGGGGCCTAATCCAGCCCAATCGCTTTCTAAATCTGGCCCATGGACGGTCTGGGAATCAGTGTGTTTTTACATGAGTAGAATGTGTCCTTTTATTTAAAATGCATCTCTGGGTTATTTGTGGGGCATAGGAATTCGTTCATTCCCCCCCCCCAAAAAAAAAAAATAGTCCAGCCACCCACAAATTCTGAGGGACAGTGGACCGGCCCCCTGCTGAAAAAGTTTGCTGACCCCTGATCTATGATATCAAAATAGAACTTAGAGACAGCCTTTATGTGAAAAATGGGCACAAATGACAAGAGAAGGCTGTTTTTTGAGCTTCCAGAGGCATCTCTTTGGCTACATGATCCAGCAAGGAGATGGCTGTCTTGTTGTAGATAGTTTGGGGAAAACCTTTTCCTAAAAAGTCTTCCTATAATCTATATTGTTTAAAGAAAAGGTTTTGTTTTTTTAAGGGATAGTCATGGAAAACTACCAGCCTCAGAAAGTAAGCAAGATGTGTTGGGCAAGTTGGGAGAGATTATTTCCCCTTTATTTAACCCTTTCTTCATCCCCCCCTCCCCGCAAGCATTACAAATCTCTTAAGCTGTTGTTATAACGGCAGTGTAGTTTTATTTAACTGAGTTGATGGGATGGAGGGTTTAATGGCATGCACTCCCCAAGTGTGTTTGAACAATCAAAAGCCATCATAAACTGGATTTTTGTTTATGAGGCATTATGGCAATGCAAGGGAAACCCACACCAAATTGTGATTTGGGATAATAAACAAGGTTCAGGAACAGCAGGAATTCTCTTGTATATCTCAAGCTGGCAGAAAGCAAACAAGTCTTGTTGTGATATCCTGCTCTGGGGTGTGGCAAAGAAAGCTACTATTCCCTCCTCTTCTGCAACTAAAACAGAGTCAATAGCCGCCAAGACTATCCATCATAAAGCTTTTGTGAGCACCAACAGTAACTTTAAAGCAAAAGAAAGCTGCTTGCCAAGGAGACTTACCCTTATTGTGTTGCTCTTTAGAAAAAGCAAAACAACGGAAGGAATTATTTGGGGAAAGTGAACTTGTGCTGACACCATTTCTAGCCTCATGTCTTGATCACAAATATTGCCCACTTCATAGCCATTGGGAGGCGCTTCATTTAGCCAAAGTTGAGCACTTTTAAGTCCCATCACTTTCGGCGGGAGAGCAGTTCTTTAATGAAACGCCCACATTTTATTGACAATTATTCTTTATTGACTGACTTGCCACTGGAATATCTTTGGAATTATTTGCTATGGTAGTCAGTGGAAGTAAGAGTTTTGGTTCATCAGTTGATTAAAAATAATTTGTGTTCATTGCTTAAAGATAACTGTACAAATAACCTTGCCAACAGGGTAATCTTATAGGCATGGTTCTCATGGAACGCAAAGCCATAGTTTGTTTAACAAATCATGAGCTAACCACAATTCCCATGGACAGCCAAATAAGCCATGGCTTGTTTTGTAAAGGCTTGGTCCCCGTCCACCCCCCAATGCTCTTACTACATGCCTCTGTAGCTTACTGATTGTCTGGGATGAGGGTTGGGAGCGGCCAAGTCATGGTTATGAAAGGTTGCTGAATTTGCACAAACCACAGTTAAAACAAACAAGATTTGTAACCCAACAGCCCACTATGGCTTCAGATTGTGGTTTGTTGGCAGTATGTGAACCATAGTTAAGACTGGATAGGGTTCAGATCATCAAACAAACCACAGTTTAGTGCTGTGTATAAAACAGGTCATTGTTATCCAGGGAATGCTGCTGTCATAGTTTTATTGCCACATTCAGTCACTATATCTATATCTATTTGAACTATTAGGCTTATCTAATTTGTAACTCATTCAAATGAATATCACACAGCTTTGTTATCCAACAAAGGTGGGGTTTCCAAGCATGTGGCAAAGTATATGGCTGGGCAATTGCATTCAGCTTGGATGGGTCATAGGTTAAGAATGTAAGCAGAGCCCTGTTGGATATATTGTCCAGTGTCCTGTTTCCCACAATGATCAACCATATGCCTTTTGGGGGATGTGGTCAATTTTTTCTCTACCAATCTAAACTGATGTATCAGTGACTTTGTATCTCCTTATTTTTAGTAGCACTAACAACTCAATATATATAGAAGCTTGCTAATATAGCTTTTCCTGTTCTTCCTTCCTTCTCCAGATCTTACAAAGCCACCATTAGCACCAAAACCAAAGATTCTCAGTCATCTCGCTTCCATAGCTGCTTCCAAATTTCCTCCGTCGCTATCAAGGTCTGGCACACTTAACAATTCAAACTCTATGTCTAGAGGTCCAAAACCACCCATTGCTCCCAAGCCAAAAATCTCTGCTGACAACGATCCATCGATTCTACAGCGATCCAGTGTTCATGCCAACAATACCTTGAACAAATGTACCAATGGAAAACTGGAGGGAGAGCTTTATGAAGGAAATCAGTGCAACAACACAGAGTTCTTAGGATCAGAAGCTGATGATGAATATATAGTGATTTCTGAAGATGAATTGATTGATAAAGTTTATGACTTTGAACATGAGCAAGAATCAGCAAAGAACGAGATCTCACACACTCCTGAGGAAGCACATGAAGAAGAGGATGACTGTACCCACAGCAATGACATCGGTGATCTTGAAATAAATTTATTGGAGAACAATGAAACTGAACCATCCGAAATTCAAGCTCTTGGCAACGCTGAAGCCCTTGAAAAGGAGGATGCTTCTGAGGGTGGATATGACAAGGTGGACTGTGAAACTGATGTCAACGAGAAGATGATGAACTGTGCAGATGAGTCTGATGAAGCACTCCAAGAACCACATCTGGTAAAGGATAATAATGAGTATAATGTGGACAATAAGATTTTGAATGGAGATGAGGCTTTGAATGGTGCCATATGTGAAGATATTATTTTACAGCATTTAGAGGTGCCAACACCATCTTCAGAGGATCAGTCACCAATTTGTGAGGCTCCAGCAGAGGATGGTCTATCTCAGGTTTTAGAAGAGGAGCAGTCTAATGCTGATGCAGAAATGGGCCCAATGGATAATGATGGGGATGAATCAGCCTCAAATATAGAAACAGAGTTTGCAGAGGATGCTTGTGCAAGCCTAAGCGACCCCCTTGCTAATGATTCTGAAGAAGTAGATACTGGATTAGAACTACATGAAGCTGGTCCTGATCCTGAAGAGACTTTGGGGGAGGCCACAAATGAAGCCAGTGCTGAAAAGGAGGAGGAACTAGACCCAGCGGATGAATGTGAAACAAGCGTAGAACAGGAAGAAAATACAGATGATGGCTACCAAACCACTGAGATGAAGAGCGAGGAGGAAACATCAGAGGCAGCATGTGATACAAGGGAAGACTCCAAAGAACAAAAGGATGAAGTGGTAGACACAGAGACCATGGATGACAGCTGCCAGATCATTCCCTTTGAAAAAGAGTGCAGTGAGGATGCTCCTGACTCTTCTGAAGAAGATTTGCCATTAGAAGGGACTGAAATGAACAGTGATAACCAGCCCTTCAGCCTTCAAGAAGTTAATGAGCTCGAATCTGACTCACAGCTGGCAGAAAGATCCAAGTCAGATGTTTTACCTGGAGATCACAGCATCAGTGAGTGTGCTTTGGAAGATACACAATCAGATAACCAAATGCTTGCGGTGGATCACAGCAGTGTTGAAGATACTGCCCCAAGTACACCTGATGAAGGTACAGCTGAAGGTACCTGGCACTCCACAGGAGAACTGGACGTTTGCCACCCCGGAAAAACGGAAATAGACTCAGGCAGTGAATATGTGATTGATGGAACTTCAGCAGTCCCTGAAGTGGTGGTTGTTCCTGATAATGATGGAGAAATCAGCAGTGACTCCCTAGATGACCCATACGTATTGGGAGACAGCTTGCCTTCAGCAAATGAAATCCTCTGTGCTGGAAAAGAAATGGGGGAGGCTGGTGTCCAAGATAGTTCAAGTGATTTCAGAGAGGGAGGGGGAATGGACAGTGAAAACCACTTGCTCTCCATTGATCGGAAAAGCATTGTTACTAGAACAAGGTCCCTCTCCGGGAAAGTGCCTGGGTATGTGCCAGAAACAGTTCCAGAAGAAACAGGCCCAGACACTGAACTGCAGTCCTCAGCCTCTGCTTCCACCATGTCTGAAGATGTAAGCCATAGCTTCTCTCTGTCAGAAGGAAAGACAATGGAAATGAATAGAGCCCTACCTGCAAAGCCAAGGCGCTTTGTTTTATACCCTCGATCTTTTTCAGTAGAAGGCAGAGATATCCCTGTCTCTGTATATAGAGAAAGTGAGACCTCCATGTTGGATTACAATAGAATAAACAGAACAGAAGACCTCTCTTTGCCTTGCGTCATTGGTTCTTCGGGTAGTTTTTCCCAGAGGAATCACCTTCCATCCAGTGGGGTCTCCACCCCGTCCTCAGTTGTGGATATTCCACCTCCCTTTGAACTTGCCTGTATCACCAAGAAGCCAATAACGAAAAGTTCGCCTTCACTTTTAATTGAGAATGACTCTCCTGATAAGTACTGCAAGAAAAAGAAGTCCTCTTTCAAGAAGTTCCTCACCTTAAAGTTCAAGAAGAAGATGGAAAATAAAGTCCATGTGGACGTTCATGTTTCTTCTTCAAGGTCCTCCTCAGAGTCTAGTTATCATGGGCCTTCCAGACTCATGGAACTCGACAGGAGGAGTTTGAGTAGCTCCCCTCAGCTGATATCACGGACCGGCAAGCTGAGGGCATCTGAGTCTCCAACTGTTCTCTTCTACAAGGACGGCAAAAGAAAAGGGACGCCCAAAACCTTTAGTAGGAGTGTGTCACGGGTGGAGTCTTTTGAGGATCGCTCCAGGCCTCCTTTCATGCCCCTTCCTTTAACTAAGCCCAGGTCTATTTCATTTCCTAATGCTGATACGTCTGACTATGAGAACATCCCAGCTATGAACTCCGATTATGAAAACATACAAATACCCCCACGAAGGCCAACCAGGGCTGGGACCTTTACTGAATTTTTTGAAGATCCTAGCAGGGCATTATCTGCCGCAAACGAGAATGACGGCTATGTGGATATGAGCAGTTTTACAGCCTTTGAGAACAACAAGCAGCAACCTACCAGCCAGGAAACTGAAAGGTATTGTAACACATATTTATGTAAGGCCTGCTAGCCTTGACCGGAGAAGCTAGGCTTCCTGTGTATTGGGAGTTGTAGGCTTATTCTCAACTTTGCTGGGCTTATCTCCCTTTTTCAGGAAATGCTCTCTATAGAAGAGTGGGAAGAATACAGTATTTTTAAAAGCGAGTCACTAGAAAGTTTCAGTGTCCCCTAATCTAAATGCTTGGTTCGTAGATCCCCATATATGGAAGCACTGGGAAAACCAAAGCTTAGTGTTATAAGAGTTTTATAATGGTCTTATATATATAAAATAGTTGTTCATAAATGTACCAACCAAACACATACAAATATGTAAAGCACATGTCTGAAACCCACAGAAAAGTCCTGAAACCGTTTTCTCTCTCCCAAAATGACCTCAAATATTTCTCTGCAAGGTTGAAGGATATGGGAAATCTCCCCACTGTCTCTTTCCTGTCTTAAGGGCACATTTAAGATATGCTTAGGGTGTGAGCCTGTGACCTGTGATCTGGATTTAGGAATTGAGTAGTTATCATAACAAAAGAGTGGCCAGGATGCCCAGGTAATCCAATCAGGTAACCTGGCAGACAGGAAGAAACAACACACCCAGATTTCCGCCCCTTCTCTGATGTATTAAGGGGGTGGTCTGAGGCTACACCCCTTCTGTGATGGATGGATGATGTTTCTAGGGGTGGTCTTGGACTCCTGGGCGGGCAATTTAAAATGTCTATATAAGGGCTTGCGCGCATGGCTTGGGGTCCCTCCTCCCCTCCTGTGTGTGTGGGGGGGAGCACCCTGTTGCAGCAGCTTTAATAAAGATCAGGCTTACTAGCTGCTTTGCTTCTCAGTATTCTCTGGTTAGTCTCTGTTATTTTCTCCTACCAATAGAGAACCTACAAAAGGACTTTATATGGGCTCTTGGGTACCCCATAAGGGAAAAGGAGCAGTTTTCCCCCCTCATAACAATAACAAGCCCATGCAAACTGACGTAAATATTGTCAGCCGTCAGAGGCTGTCTCACAACAGGCCCGCTGTGCAGGTTTTTATTCTTAGCCACATGTTACAGGAAAGAGGTGGCACTCAAAAATGAGAACCTGTGTACACCTTCTCCCCCCTTTGTGCCGGATGATCTACTTTTTTTCTCATAACACTTACTTTAAGGAACTTCTTAACTTCTACAGAGATTAGATTGAATCTTGCTTGTTTCTATTCTGGATAATGTGTCTGCATGCTTGTTTGATTTAGATGCTGTCATTTCAGTGGGGCTTGTGGCTCATCCATTACCTGCCTCCTTAGCTCCCACACTGCATTCTACATTACCTGCTTTTATGTCACTTGTTTCCCAAAAGTTAAAGGATTAATCTGTAGACTTCCCCCAAACTCAGCCATTACAAACTACAGTGGTGCCTCAGCTTACATACGCTTCAGGTTACAGACTCCGCTAACCCAGAAATAGTGCTTCAGGTTAAGAAGTTTGCTTCAGGATGAGAACAGAAATCGTGCTCCGGCGGCGCGGCGGCAGCAGGAGGCCCCATTAGCTAAAGTGGTGCTTCAGGTTAAGAACAGTTTCAGGTTAAGAACGGACCTCCGGAACGAATTAAGTACTTAACCTGAGGTACCACTGTATGTGAAGTTCACTACTTTTATCAAAGTCTGTCATGATCAATGTTTGGGAGAGTTTTCGAATCATTTGAAAAACACATCCAAAGCTGTGAGATCTGAGACATCAGTGAGGCTTTTTTTCTTTCTGATCATTTGGAGAGAGGTGGTGGTGGGGAAACCCCTATCTTGATCTAACCTTTAATTTCACTAGTTTTCTCTTATCAAAGCAAAGATTTCTTTTGCTTTGACATTCCATCTTAACAATCCCTCGCAGGTTTATAACTCAGAGGAAACACCAGTCAACTTGAAAGCAAATCTGTCCCCATACCAGTCAAGGCAGAAAAAGAGGAAAGGACAACGGTGTGGGAAAGAAGCATCTATTTCCTTAGCTATTATGGGCTATGCAAACTCATCATTATATTTGGTGGCAGTCAAGTCAACCAGCCAGTGACACATGCACACACATTTCTATAAAAAAGGGAATGGGATTTTCACTTTATTTACCATTTGTTGTACATTGCCCATAATCTTGGGTCACTGCTTCAGTTAGCAGCTGAACTATGCACAGCTAAACTAGAATGCTTTAATACTCTGACATAATAAAGCTAGGAAGGGGAACTGGTGATCCTTGAGGTCAGTGCTTTCTTTCTAGAAAAATAGGTGCTGGTACTCACCATGAAGTTGTTATAGTAAATGCCACTTTTTTTAACAATAACAAAAAAGATGTGCCGGTACTGCGTGCCCTTGAGTGCCCCCTGAGAAAAAGCACTGCTTGATGTGTTGTTGGACTCCAACTCCCATCAACCCTTGCCAGCATGGTAAATAATTAGGGATGATGGGAGTTGTAGTCTAGCAGCATCTGGAGGACCAGTTTCCACATCCGTGTAACATCAAGGATCCTATATCCTTTTAAATGTGTTTGTGGAAAGGGGGTTATTGTTTTGCTCTTGCCCTTGTTTTTATTATGCATTTTGTGGTTTTTTCCCTTGAATTTTTATGCTGTGAACTGCCCTGAGATTTTCAGATGAAGGGCAGTATACAAATTCAATAAATAAATAAGTACTACTAGAAGACTTCGTGCACATGTAGTTTATCCTTGGGTGTGTGTGAAAACTGTCTTGCCTTCCAAGAGCTAAATTTGAATCCTGAATTTTTTGCATAGTTTTTAACATGTTTTTCTGGGGACCTGACCAAAGAAAAATCTTAAGAATCATACTAGTTAGATTCACTTGTCAATGGATGCACCATTCTGGTTTTTTTTTTTTTTCATTGTTATCAGCCTGATAGCCTTGGTTTGGCAGTAGTATATAGACACAGAAATGCATTCATAGCTGAACACACACAAATGGCTTTATAGGTGTTTATCTCTGGCACTTTCGGTGGTCGCATCTGGACTGAGAAAACTGATACGTCTCAGTTGTTGTTGTTGTTGTTGTCAAGTGAAGTGCAATTTCAGAGTGTTCCTTGCGGATAAAAGTTAAAAATATTGAACAACGCAAATGGCTGTGACACATTTATGAACTTCCCATGGAAGCATGGGTCTGTTAAGGGGAAGCCAATCAAAACTGGTTCAGGAAGTTTCAGCACAGTATTCAAGGCTGCTTCTATGTATGCCAGCACTGGTACTCTGGGAAAAATTGACAACTGCTTTTGATTAATTTTTTCTTTTATTTTTTTTATAAAAAAGACTTAACAGATGAAACCAGTACTGTTTTTTTCTTGGAGGATGCAGGGGTACGCATACCCCTAAACATTTTGTGAATCTAAGTTTGGCCTCATTGAGGGGCAGTATTTCAATATGAGTAGGAAAATGAGAGTACCCCTAAACATTTTTTTTAAAAGAAAAAAAGCACTGGATGAAACCACCCATTTTGTAAAAGGAAGACAAGAGACAATGATTTCCTCTATGGTTCTGGAAAACCCTGCTTCAATTAAAGCATTGTGGGTTGGGTCCAGACTTAGTCATGCTTAGAGTAGACCCACTGAAATCAATGAGGAAGGGCTACATCTCAGCGGTAGACCATCTGCCTCATACGTAGAAGATCCCAGGTTGAGCCCCCAGTTTCTGCAGGTAGGGCTGGGATAGAACGCTGCTCAAAACCCTCAAGAGTGGTTGGCAGTCAGTGTAGGTCAGTGATGGCCAAACTTGGCCCTCCAGCTGTTTTGGGACTACAACCAGCGAGTTCATACTAGAGACAGAATGTGATCTGGGGACTTCCTGATTTGCATCTCAGTCTCTTACCTATCTCTGTACTGCACCAGCTCTAGTCCTCATTACGATGGTATTTCTGTATTGAGTTTCATGAATAGAATTCAAAAAACACTATCAAATTACAACACCATTTAGATGCCTCGGAAGCCCCAGTGTTTGCAGGGGTTTATTACAACTGGCCAGAGAGAAGATTTCGGTTTTTAATTTCTTTTCTTCAGAAAAGAAAGGGGAGATAAAGGTGGGTGTGGTATATCTTGGCTAATATTTTTTAATTAGATTCCATCAAATTGATAGCGAAAGAACTCGGTAATGAAAGCATGCAAGAGATAATATTTTCTTTCAATTACTGATGTGGGGCTTAGTAACTGGAACATTGTCCCCTGAAGGGCAGTTACCAGCGTTACCCAAAATTTAAGCCAACTAGCATTAATAATTAAAATATAATTTGGTAATGCAGCATTAGAAATGCCGTTAAGGTTCTTCTTTCCGTGAAAAGTAGTTAGTCATGTCATGTGGAGAAGGCCTATGGGCCCCACAGTGATGAGTTTTCTGCTGCATGATGTGGCCTAGCAGCATATTGCCTTTCACCTCTTGTTTTTGGAGTATCATTCTAGACTTTATATTTTCCTGGGGAAATCCCAACATTTTGGGAAGCAGTGTGTTCAGAAAGAAAGACAAATACCTCTGTTGTAATGGCCTCCCCGTGAGTAACCTGACTCACTGTCTGGAATTTCAGGAGAGAGGGTCTTCAGGTAGCGCTTGCCTCAAATCCTGGCCAGCTGCTGCCAGTTTGGGCAGACAATACTGAGCTAGATGGAGCGTTTGTCAGATTTAGTACAAGGTCATTTCCTTCTGTTCCTTGCACAGGCAGCTCTTGGTTCTTTCCAGTGGCAAGGCATGGTGGTGATGGATGAAGGTTTTTGTCCATTGTCTCTGAAAAGTCACACAGTCTTGTATGGCTTATAGTCTGTGCATGTGGAACCTGAACAAAATGTTGCAATGTAGAATTTTCCTGTTCAGGTTATTTTATCCCCTTGACCCTCCCTCCTGATTTTCTGCCCTGCCCCTGGCAGTCTGCATTCTGCATCTATTGAGCATGCATCCTGGTGCTGTTTGGGGACCAGGTTCCCACCTATGAATCCCCCCCAGAAAATATTGCTTGTACTTCTGTAAACCTTGGGGTCCC